CGCTTGTAAAATAAAACAAACATTACACTCGAACCAAAAACCGCATTCCAGGATTACAACATCCAGGAAGAGCAGTCGCCATCTGCTACAGTTTATGAAATCGATTTCTAATGATCTTTTACTGTCCCCTTCCCCTGTAATTTTTTAAAAGATTAGTTAATCCAAAAATGAATTCTGTCATTTATTCACTCATTCACCTCATGCCATTTCAGACTTTGGTTTCTTGTATGGAACACACAAACAAGATGTTTTGAAGAATGTTCACTCTGCTCTTTTCCATACAGTGTCCTTTGTCAGTCAAAGTAGACTGTATGACTTTGACAAAGTATGACTTCTAAAGTCATGCAATAGCTTTTTGTGAGGAAAAAGATACAACCACAGAAATTGAATTAGCTTTTATTTTTATATTTTCGGTTTTCATTTACATTTTAGATTATGATTTAATAATTTTATGTTTTGTCATTTTAATTTTTTATTTATTTTGTTCGTTTCATTGAATTTGTTTATGCATTTTATCTAATATAACAGGTGTAGTTTTAGTTCACCGTGACAACACTGCACAGCTGTCAAGTTTTATTTGCACTTTTACATTTTAAACTCGAGTCGCAATTGACACTTTCATTTTTCTGTGAAATTTTCCTTTACCTCATATATTACATTACATCTCTAGCCTTCCAGTTTGTTAGCATAAGCTCACTCCCCTATAAGGTTGGACATGTGGAAATGTGATATAGTAGCTTACTGCTGATTTTATAAACCGCCAGAACAAATCAGAGCAGAGCAGAGTACAGCCTCTTCATTGTGACAGCACCTCATGCCGAATACTACACCATTATCTGTCTGATTGGTGTGTGACTCACTTAAATTCGACTGACCAGTCACTAGCTGTTTTATTTGGTTTGCTGGACCTTTGCCTTTAGTGCTGATTTGAGATCCATTTTGAAGAACTCAACAGTAAGAATCCGATACGAGAAGCTGTTTATAGATGAGCACAAATTTACAGCCTCCACTTTGAATCCTGTCAAACAACTCGCAGTGAAACAAGTCTCTCTCTCTCTCTCTCTCTCTCTCTCTCTAAAACATCTCAAAGTTGCACTGAAATGTTATTGTGAATAATTAATTCATGCATGTTTCTTTCTTTTATTGATTGATTGATCGTGTGTGTCCTCTATTTGCACTGAGGGTGTGGGTTGAGTGCTCGTATGTTGGGAATCTGCAGAATTCCTCAGTGTTTTGGGGGAAAATTCCCTCTCGCTCGAGGAGGGTAATATTGTTGTGGCCGAGATTGTTGGCTGCCAAGTCTGTGTGTGCGTGTATGAATGTGTGGATAGAAGGAAGCATAAAGAGTTCACTGTGCGTGTGTTTCACCCTCGTATGCCCTTGTGTAAAACGACCTGATTAGATGAACATTGCACTTAATTTTCTTAAATAAAAATGCCACACAATCCTAAGCACAACAAATGGAATTAAACAGGAGAATCTGCTTATGTAGCTACGGATTCTTTGTTCCCTTGCTCTCCACAAGCCCGGAGTCAGTTTGAGCAGTGCACTTATATTTTATTCAGAAACACTTTGTTTGGATTACTTTTCAATTACAGTGTTGCCTTAGAAATGCCTTTGACGAAACGTCATATGGTCTGGTCCTCACTGCAGCTTACTCTGGCCAAGAACTGCCCACTTGGACAGAAAGAGATCTCCTGAAGCGAAACTACAGTTTTTGATTTAGCATGCTATTTAGAGGCGGGTTTATCTGTAATATAACACAATAATAGACTAGTGAAGGAAAAAAAAAAGTTTAAAACATTAAATGAAATAAATAAATAAAAGAAAGATACTTCCTTACCACTGGTGTTTTGTTAACACCATTAGTATGGCAAACATATTACTGTTGGGGGAAAAATAATTTTTTTAAAATTTATTATTATTATTATTATTATTATTATTATTGTTGTTTTTTTTTCTTGTTTTGTTTTTTGTTATTATTTGAATTGAATTATATTTAATTAGTTATTTAGTATATATTAATTTGAAAAAAAAAAATTATTTAAATGCAGCCTTGCATTTAATAATTATATATAATGTCTTTTCATATGTCCCTCCATATGACAGATATAGAAGGATATATATATATGTGTGTGTGTGTGTGTGTGTGTGTGTGTGTGTGTATATATGTATATATATATATATATATAACACACACACACACTCCAGTTATTAGACCTTGGGTCCGACTTATAAGCGTAATTTCCCATGGCCGAAGCAAAAGAAGTCAAATTCACGCAAAAGACTTAGCGAATGCTCGAGATTATCAGATATGAGCACACATGAAAGGTTCATTGTGTGTGTGTGAGGTTCAGGGGATCTGAGGGCAGCTCTGTCACAGGTCTTGTGATCGGAGCTCAGTGGTCATAGGGCAGCCTGGCACCGCACCCCCCACACAAGGTCCAGGAGGCAAGACAGCAGGTTAAAAGCATGATGTGAAAGAGACGTGTGTTCTCATGCATTGTGAGCTCTCTGACAGAGAAAATGGCGGCCCCGCTGCTTTCAGAGAAACCAACTCTTCCTGAGTCGCCATGGCAACACAAACTTCATTCACTAGCGAGTGAATGAGGGAGAGAAAGAGAGAGGGCCAGTTTAATGAAGTGATGGAACAGAAGAAGATACTGTATATGAGCACTACAGAGATTCAGTGTCGCCCCTTACTGAACTCTCATCTGATTCACTAGCTAAGTTAATTAACTTGCAGTGTGTTTGTATACATGGTTTTATTTAGCTATACGTTGTGGACAGCTTAACAATTTGTACCTTTCTACATCATAGTGGGAAGAAAAGTAAATATTCTTAATTTTTACGCAAATTGTAGAGTTTGACTGTATCAACTTCAACCATGCAGTTGCTATTAGTGTTATTGTACAAATAAGTTGATCAAGAACTACAAATCATGTTTTTTACAAACTAGGTAGCCTGTACCGAGTTAGGGATTTATATATTATTTTAGGCAAATTTTGCATGCCTGCTACCGTTTACTTTTTTTTTTTCTTTCTACCTTATATTTGCACGCTGTCATTGGGTTTATTTTATTATTTTACTTTATTTTATTTTAAGCTTCTAAAAATTTACTTAATTTTTATGAGTGCCAGGCTTTATTTTGTATCATTTTTCTTTTCTTCTTTTTTTATAGATTGTGTTTCTCAACCACACTGTTTTTGCATGCTGTTACTCATTCTGGCTTGTTTTTTATTTTGCTTTATTTTACTTTTTTACTTTATTTTGTTTTTTTTTTAATTATTTAATTTTGTTATTTTAAGCTAATGAAAATTTACTTAATTTTTAAGAGCGTCAGGCTTTATTTTGTATCATATCCATGGATTTTTTTCTTCTTTTTAATAGATTTTGTTTCTTGACTAGGCTGTTTTTGCATGCTGTTACTCATTCTGGCTTTTTTATTTTATTTGGAATATACTGAAATTAAAACTCATTATTTAAATTGTAGTAACATTTCACAATATTACAGTTCTTACTGCATTTCTGATCAAATAAATGCAGCCTTAGTGAGCATAAAGACTTCTTTCATTAATATTAAATCATCTTACCTACCCCAAACATTTGAACAGTAGTGTATCTGTGGTTAATAAACTTGTTTTAAGACCACCTGTTAATAATTAAACATCATTTTAAATGCAACATGTTCCCCGCTGACTAATCACCACAAATAAATCGATGTAAATGGTTTCAGTTTGTTGTTTTTACTTTGGGTGCTATGTGCGCAAATAGCCTAGTAAATATATATGCCATTAAAGACAAAATGGAAATCTAACATAAGAAGTCTTTAATAAGGCTTTCTGCTTTGCTGTTAGCAGACCCAATAAACTTTGAAGTCCACTCTACCTTTCACATTGTGTGTGTGTGTGTGTGTGTGTGTGTGTGTGTGTGTGCGTTTTTGTGACAAATGAGGACATACATTTGTATAATGACAAGGGTATGACATAGGTATTACAAGGAGAAGGTGACTTTTCAGGACATTACCCCATGTCCCCACTTTTCAAAACACATAAATCACACAGAATGGAGTGTATTTGTGAGTGAGAGTGTGTGTGAGTGAGTGTGTGAGTGAGTGTGTGTGTGAGTGTGTGTGGGTGTGTGTGGGTGTGTGTGGGTGGGTGGGTGGGTGTGTGGGCACCGGCCCTCCAGGACCGAGTTTGGACAGCCCTGACCTAGAGCACTTGATGATTACATTTTATGAATATCACTGTATGTACTGTATGTGCGCTCTATTCATTTTGTCATTAGATAAGCTTTACCCTTTGTAGGTTCATGCACTAGTGACCTTTTAAGACACGGCTCTGCCTCTCCCTTTGAAACACACACACAAGACACGCAGTAAAAATTTAGATTAAATGGATCTGCTCACAATCTATGTGTGATGTAAATGGCATCTTTAAGACATTAGACCCCAGACAGAGCTCATGATTGGTAACCTGCTGTCCTGGAGCCTCTTTCAGTCTTGAGGTTAAAGCTTGTCACTAAAAATACTATGCTTTGAAATGACTTAAAGATATTTGCTGTTGCTGTTTTTCAGTAGTAACGGTAGCAGACTGTGTACGCAGTAAACGGTTCTCATAAAAACTTTCACCATAAACCACCGCGTTTAAACGTTAAGCTTTTATGTTCATGAGTCTGAGTTTCTTTCTGATTCATTTGTGTTCCTCAACAGGAAAAAAAATGCACGAGTAGAAAAACATTAGAAAATCCATTAATAAATTGAAATCAAAGTTATTTGCCTTTGAAAGAACTTGCGAGTTAAACAAGGATAATGGCATTGCTACAATGGTCCTAATGTTTGTACATGTGTGGGTGTGTGCTCGTCTTTAAGGTCATATGGCAGCACTGAGTTTTATCCTGCTGTATCCTTTGCTTGCATGTTTCTGTTCTTGTTTTGAGATGGAAAATGCTGAAAATAAGTTGTGTTCGGGGCTTTTCTGGTTTTGTTTCCTCTCTAGGTGGGGTGGGCATCGCTGCCACTCAGTTGTGTAAAACGGTGAATGATGTCACATTGTTTGGCACCGCCTCGGCCAGCAAGCACGAGGTCATCAGCCAGGGCGGAGTCACGCACCCCATTGACTACCGGACACGTGATTATGTGGAGGAGATCCGTAAAATCAGCCCCAAAGGTGAGCACTCACACAGTAAACCAGCTTTAAGAACATAATCTACCATTCAAAAGTTTGGGGTCAAGATTTTTTTTTAAAGAAATGTATACTTTTATTCAGTAAGGACAAATTAAATTGATCAAAGTGACCATAAAGATACTGTTTTGAGCTTTCTATTGATCAAAGAATCCTGGAAAAATGTTTCCACAAAAATATTAAGCAACACAGCTGTTTTCAACATTGATAATAAGAAATGTTTCTTGAGCACCAAATCATCATATTAGAATAATTTCTGAAGGATCATGTGACACTGAAGACTGGAGTAATGATGATGGAAATGCAGCTTTGCATCACAGAAATAAATTATATTTTGGAATATACTGAAATTAAAACTCATTATTTAAATTGTAGTAACATTTCACAATATTACAGTTCTTACTGCATTTCTGATCAAATAAATGCAGCCTTAGTGAGCATAAAGACTTCTTTCATTAATATTAAATCATCTTACCTACCCCAAACATTTGAACAGTAGTGTATCTGTGGTTAATAAACTTGTTTTAAGACCACCTGTTAATAATTAAACATCATTTTAAATGCAACATGTTCCCCGCTGACTAATCACCACAAATAAATCGATGTAAATGGTTTCAGTTTGTTGTTTTTACTTTGGGTGCTATGTGCGCAAATAGCCTAGTAAATATATATGCCATTAAAGACAAAATGGAAATCTAACATAAGAAGTCTTTAATAAGGCTTTCTGCTTTGCTGTTAGCAGACCCAATAAACTTTGAAGTCCACTCTACCTTTCACATTGTGTGTGTGTGTGTGTGTGTGTGTGTGTGTGTGTGTGCGTTTTTGTGACAAATGAGGACATACATTTGTATAATGACAAGGGTATAACATAGGTATTACAAGGAGAAGGTGACTTTTCAGGACATTACCCCATGTCCCCACTTTTCAAAACACATAAATCACACAGAATGGAGTGTATTGAAAATCTGAAATAGCACAAAGTTTCCTGTGAGGGGTAGGTTTAGGGGTAGGGTTGGTGTAGGGCAATAGAATATACGATCTGTACAGTATAAAAACCATTAGGCCTATGGAATGTCCCCACTTTTCACAAAAAGAAACCTGTGTGTGTGTGTGTGTGTGTGTGAGTTGTAACTCTTATCACGGTGTCCGATAAAACATTGTTTACTCTTTTATCTTATCACAAAAATTTACAAAACAAATTCCTTCCTTTTTGTTTAGCTCTTTTCCATGACCGAACATTTTATTTGATGTACTCCTCTGACCATAACAGTCTTAGAAATTTAGAAACACAGTATCACATCGATGACATTCCACTCCGGTCAACACGAGAGCAGCGTTAACCCATAAAGAACTGTTAAATAAGGAACTTCAGCAATACATTGATGTGCTAAACTTGCTGTTGCTGTGGAGCTTTAAAGATTAAATAGCTTTTATTTTACAGTGCTAATTATCTAACCGCTAAAACACAGCATGATCAACATGCATTGCTGAAAACATCAAAATAATAAAATAAACATTCTTATAAAAGAAAGATTCTTTAATAAATAGAAATATAGAAAAATATAATAATATATTAGGGTCAGTAAGAAAAAAAAAGAAGTTTTTGAAAAGTGTCTCATGCTCACTAAAGCTGTATTTATTTGATAAAAATAGTAAAAACAGTAATTTCATCAAATATTGTTACAATTTAAAGCAACTGTTTTCTATTTTAATGTATTTTTAAAATGTAATTTCTTCCCGTCTTCAGTGTCACATGATCTTTTCAGAAATCATTCTATTATGCTGATTTACAATTTAAGTCTTTACTGTTATTTTTTCTGAATTTAATGCATCCTTGCGAAATAAAAATACTGATTTCTTTTAAAGAATCATACACTTTTTAAAAAAAAATTTTTTTATTCGCCATGTTAATGAAAGCCACAAAATAGCGAAAATTAAATGAACATTTAATTTACACAATATTCGCTTATAATTCACACAAGTATATTAAGACAGAAAACAGATGCACTCTTTTAAATTAAGACCGCTGTTAATTGGGCAAGCAGTTACAGTTTTATAGATAGTGTATATGAATTAATGCAAGAAGAACATTATTTTGGTCATTCACCATCTGTGTCTTTCTTCCTGTGTGTTTTAGGCTTGGATATTGTTCTGGATCCTCTGGGAGGCTCTGACACTCATAAGGGCTACAACCTACTGAAACCAATGGGGAAGCTCATCAGCTACGGTGAACCTTGATAGACACTCTGAGCATCAGCTCGCGTACACACGTTTTTTTTCATGTCACTTCGACCAAATGCTACAGTTTCAATTTGTAGGGCTGAGGTTTTGCTGGGTAAATTGGATGCATCCCAGCAGACGAGTCCGAGTAGCTTGATAGTGACGTATTACAGTAAATCAACTTCAGAAACACAATACCCGGAACAAGACCCCTTAAACAACATGGCGTCCTGAAGTCCCACCCAACTGTCTTTGTCCCTCTGTCTCTTTCTCTCGCGCACTCTCTTCCTCTATCCTGCTTTATCAGAACAATGGCTCCTCTATCTGACACAGAACCCAGAATGTGTCCGAATGTAGCAGACTGGGTCAGGTCCAAATCACAGGCCAACTCCGAGCTCGCTTTGTGTGAATATGTGTGTGTGAGAAAGAGAGACAGAGAGGGTTGTCATTGCTTTATGTGTACATTTCCCCCTCGCTAATGGTACGATAGAGTGTCATTTACTCTAATATCCTTTGTCGTCCCAATATGTGGCGTTTTGATCTTATTTCATGCTAATAAGCCACCTTTGAAGTGAACGGAGAGAATGATGGTTAGACTGTTAGAAATTGAAAGAGAAGACATGTGCGAAATGAAGGGGATAATCGTGTGGAGAGACACTAAAACGAGAGGGAGAAAACAAGCGATGGAGTGACAGACATGGGAAGCGACGCGAGAGGATGTGCGGACAGTGAGCGAATGAAGACGGGTCAAAGAGTGCGGTGTTGGAAAAGGGAGAAAGAGAGCGAGAAGGAGGGCCAGAGAGGCATGTCATTCCTCTGTAAATGAAGAACGCTCGCTGTGGGAGCCATTAAGCAGTAATTCACCCGTCGGTCAACCGCACACACATTTTACATGCAGAAAACTCACACAAATACCTATTCATGCTCGAGGAACATGCTCACAGTTCAGACGCCGCGCGCACAAACACACACACACACACACAAAGACATTTTTACATGCTGTAGGATGTAGGAATGGGTGGTATGATGGTAGAAATGTGTCGAGAGATTTTGTGGAACCGTTTATTCTGCCTTTTGTTTGGCTATTTTATGTTATTTACATGTGAGGGCAGCGAAGACGCATGAAAAAAAAAAGGATGTGCACAAGGAATAACTTGCTATTAATTGGTGCTAAAATGTTTGGGTTTGTTTACTCGTGTAGCTATTAAACAAAAGTTTTAAACTTATTAAGAGGCTTATTTTATGCTTATTAAGAAACTTATTCTTTTGTTAGAAATAATATTATATTTTTTCTAAGTTCTGAATTGGAGACACAATGCATTTTAGTATATAATTCACTCATTTATCCAAAACAGGCATTGACAAATGAATATCTAAAATATAAAACCATTCCCATTTGTTTATTTTGTTGAAAATATTCTTGAAATAAGTCTCTTACACTCACCAAGGCATTTAATCAAAAATACAGTAAAATGGTAATATTGTGAAATATTACAATTTAAAATGTAATTATTTTTTTAAATTTTTACTGTCACTTTTAATCAATTCATCCTTGCTGAATAAAAGTGTGAACAAAAAAAACGTATATGTATATTATAAATTCATGTCATCGTCACATTTTCTTGTTTAAATAAACTTTACTTACACTATCAGAAAAATAAAATAAAAATAATTATATTTTATATTTTTACATTAACAATTTATAATATTTTCTCTTTCCGTGATAGAAAATTACTCATGCTGTAATAACATTTCAGTCATACCTCCCATCCCATAAATCATAGTAATATCTTGCGAGAATGGATCCAAAATCCTGATATTAAGGCACTGATGTATATCTATGTCTTATGTGTCAACTTGATGTTTGTGTTTGCAGGTGCCGAAAAGGGAGAAAGAGAGCGAGAAGGAGGGCCAGAGAGGCATGTCATTCCTCTGTAAATGAAGAATGCTCACTGTGGGAGCCATTAAGCAGTAATTCACCCGTCGGTCAACCGCACACACATTTTACATGCAGAAAACTCACACAAATACCTATTCATGCTCGAGGAACATGCTCACAGTTCAGACGCCGCGCGCACAAACACACACACACACACACAAAGACATTTTTACATGCTGTAGGATGTAGGAATGGGTGGTATGATGGTAGAAATGTGTCGAGAGATTTTGTGGAACCGTTTATTCTGCCTTTTGTTTGGCTATTTTATGTTATTTACATGTGAGGGCAGCGAAGACGCATGAAAAAAAAAAGGATGTGCACAAGGAATAACTTGCTATTAATTGGTGCTAAAATGTTTGGGTTTGTTTACTCGTGTAGCTATTAAACAAAAGTTTTAAACTTATTAAGAGGCTTATTTTATGCTTATTAAGAAACTTATTCTTTTGTTAGAAATAATATTATATTTTTTCTAAGTTCTGAATTGGAGACACAATGCATTTTAGTATATAATTCACTCATTTATCCAAAACAGGCATTGACAAATGAATATCTAAAATATAAAACCATTCCCATTTGTTTATTTTGTTGAAAATATTCTTGAAATAAGTCTCTTACACTCACCAAGGCATTTAATCAAAAATACAGTAAAATGGTAATATTGTGAAATATTACAATTTAAAATGTAATTATTTTTTTAAATTTTTACTGTCACTTTTAATCAATTCATCCTTGCTGAATAAAAGTGTGAACAAAAAAAACGTATATGTATATTATAAATTCATGTCATCGTCACATTTTCTTGTTTAAATAAACTTTACTTACACTATCAGAAAAATAAAATAAAAATAATTATATTTTATATTTTTACATTAACAATGTAATCAATATTCTATTTATTAAACCCAAGTATGTATCTCTTCAAATTAGGGTTTTAAAGCATTTTACATTCAAAATAATAACTCAAGGCAGTAACTATTTATTTTATAACAATACAATATATTTTATTTTTGAACTTGTGTTCAGCTATTCTTTTTAACAGTTAACTTGTAACAATTTTTGTATTTTTCGGGTCATCAGTCATCAAAACTCTGTAAATATTGGTCTATTGGTCACAGACCAATAGGAGATTTAAGTTGATTACTCACTAAAAACTCCCACAGATCATGTTTTTGGGCCATTTCAAGTCATATGTTGACCTAACAAAGTGGTTATATCTAAGTGTGTGAGTTGATTACTTCTTTTTTTTTTTTAATTAATTTATTTTTTTATTAGTCTTTCCATTAACTCCATTGTGTGGTTCATTCAGACTGATTCGCGATCACACACGATCACAAGAGGCGGGATTTATCGCATGAACCAATCACAGCCGAACATAACCAGTCATATTCAATCATATCGCAATGGAGGCCTTGCCTCCTCTCTCTCGTAACTTTCTCCCATTCATTCTCAATTACCCCCATCAATCTCACCTCATCGCTCAGGCCATGGCAGCCGTTATGGACCTGTACAGACAGGGCAAGATCAAGCCCCGAATTGACTCCACCTACCACCTAGAACAGGTGAATGAATGAATGAGTGTCAGACGGGAGCTGATGTGTTTTGGGTAAAAGAACGCGAGTATAATTATATCTGGAAGTGTAATTTATGCCAGGAAGTTGAAATCCATTGAGATTAAATATATGCGAGGGTGTCAACTCAACCACCACCCATGCCTTGTACTCCTTCCACCCTTTGATCAATTGTTCCTGCCTCGTCCCTCACTTGTTCTTTCATCCATCTTTCCCCATTATTTCTCCTCCTTTCTTATCTCTCCTGTTGCTATGGAGATGTCTCTTCCTGCTTACAGTATGTAAGTGCGACTGCGAGCTGATGCTTTTATGACGATCCGGGCTTTTATCAGCCTCGTCAGACTTTGGTGTTATTGAAAATTCGTAAAAGGAATTATGAAGTGCTTTCGCATTCAACTGAAACTAATATTTCACAAGACTTGAGCTGATGAGAAGAAGAGCTGTTTGAAGCGCTCTGTGTATGTTGATCTCCCTGTCCTTCGCTCTCATTTCCTGTCTCATTCTCTTTCCTCAATCTGTCCACAAGTCAATCGTCAGGGCCAGGTTGCTTTTCCCTGTTGCTAGGAGATGGCTCGCTGTTGCCGTGGTGCTGGTTGTTAGGTAGAGTGGTAAAGGAGAGGTGAACTGGGTGGGAAACAGAGCGGGAGACAGGTGGACTGACCAGAGACTAGCTGATATACTGAACACTGAAAGAGGAAGAACACAAATTCATCTTCATCTGCATTTTAGCATTATATGATTGATAGTTGGATATATTGACATTATTGACATCAAACTGTAGTTGCTTAGCTACTTAAACAAATAGTGTATATGTGTGTGTGTATATATATATGAGAGAGAGATAATCAATTTTAGAATATAAAATATAAACAAAATTATTATCATTATATTAAATGTGTTAAATTAAAATTACTACATCATAAAAAGTTTTAATTTGTGTAATTATCCATGTATAAAATGTTAGAATATAAAATATAAACCAAAAAATTATATTTTTATTTTTATTATTTATAAATTATTAAAATTAAAGCCATACTGCTATCTAAATTTGAGTACTGGCCATTGAGGAACAGTGATAGACAATATATAGAACAATATTCGCTGATATTCAGACATTTTGAGGTTATTGCCATTTGTAAATAAATGTTTGATTAGCCAGTTGAAAGAAATAATCATTTTGCCTATTGTTGTTTCTGAAATAAACCGACATTTTTCAAACTGTTTTTTTTTTAGTGAGTTGCAGTAAATATGGTCCATGAAATCAGAATTGGAGTTTTGTGTATTTTTTCCATATGCGTTAACTTTAAAGGTAGTGTAGGCGATTGCTATCAGGATGTGAAGAGACTTTCAGTCAGCATAACAAAAATGTTTCTGAACCAAATCACCTACCCTGCCTTTAAAGACCCTCTAGACTTCTGGTACTCAGGGGCGTTTCCAAATTTTTGTTCAATAAAATGCTCTTTTAGTAATTCATGGTTCTCACTGCTATAAATCCAAAGGCTTGTAGCTAGAGGTCATCTGCCACCTTATTCTCTGGCGTAAGAGTAAATTTGGAGACATGAAGAATCTCATAAAGGATGTTTGTGTGCGTGTGAAGTTCAGTATTAGATCAACTGTCAACAGCTTGTTAGATATTCTTACCACAGCAGATGGCCAGTCAAGCTGCTCTCTCTGCCGTTCCTCATCCGCACCCTCACCAGTCTCTCTCTCTCTCTCTCTTGCTCAGGTTGGTGATGCCATGCGTAGGATGCAAGAGAGGAACAACATCGGTAAAATTATCCTCACCACCGAGCCCATGAAGGAAGAGGAGAAGAAAGAGGAGGCCAAGAAAGACGAGGAAAAGAAGAAAGATGACAAGAAAAAGGATGACAAGAAGAAGGAAGACAAGAAGAAGGACGATGCCAAGAAGGAGGAGAAAAAGGAGGAGAAGAAGAAGGAAGAGGCCAAGAAGGACGACAAGAAAGCAGAAGAAAAGAAGGAAGAAACCAAGAAAGAGGAGAACTGAGTGGAGAGCTTTGTGTCAGCGGTTTGGGAGTGGTTTGAGTGAGTGTGTGTGTGTGTGTGTTATGTGTGATTGTGTGTGTGTGTGTGTATGGAGGGGTGTATAGTGTAATTAGCTTAACCCCAGTTGATTCCTGACATTAGATCTGCATTTCTGCAATCATTCAGTCAACAGAATTCACACACCACTTATGTTCACCCACACCCACACACACACACACACACACGCACTTTATACACCAAGGGAACACACCACTTTATCGTTCTGTTGTAACCTGGTAGTATTTATTCCCAGTTCTGCTGCGTCCTTTTTAACTATTTCATATGACTGCATGCCACCAAGGCATGTTAGGGCAGTATTATCCTTTTTATAACTATCACCGCAGTGTTTACTCAACCAACGTCTTTAATTATATAACAAAATAACCTTACTCTGCACCCTTTAAAATCGTACTACCGTATCCTCTAACGTTATTCCTGCCAAACTAATGCACTATAAAATTATTGTATATCACTGAAATATTCTTTGTAGACGCAAACCAAGAACCACCTCATTCGCTCTCTACACCCCTCCGTGTGTTTGCGTATCCACTGTGAGTTTGGCTTTTGTTTCCTTTTCGTCTCTGTTCTGAAGTGGGTGCACTTGTTTGATTCGCCATACGTCATCAAAAGTGAAAGAGCTTTTTTTTTCTGCCCACCTTGGCATGCAAAAACAAGAGCACCCACCTACACTCCCACTGTTTATGTTGTTTTCCCCTTATTGGGCCAGACTCACTGACATGTACTCAAGCCCCGCCCCCCTGGAGGAGTCAGGGTGGTTTCTGATTGGCCGAGAGGGACAACAGGCTTCTTTTATGCGTACACATGTGCACATCGCAGACGTTACCCCAAAAACTAACAAGGGTGCTTTAGGCCTCAGCTGATCAATGCGCCATGTCATTAAAACGGGGCAAGCGCCAGGGTTTTAATGAGTCTTGCTTGGCAAGCAGGACCAATTATAGAGAACATTCTCCCAGCCTTTTTCCCATCATTTCTCTTGTATCAGATGTGGACTCATAAAGACAGGAGTGGCCTTTCATTCCAGAACCTCCTCCAGGATTCCTCGGGATCCTGACGCTTTCCGCCCCTCGTTCCCGTGACTGCTTACCACACGATCATGCTGACCTGCAGCTCGCATTTAAATATGATCTCCGCTCCGTCTGGCTTTTCTAACTCCGCTCTCTCTCGTTCTCTACCCATTTCGTCATTGTGGTTGGCATAGCAACAGCAGTTAGGCTAGTTAGGGATGACGGTTAGGTCTCACCCCCACATCGCAGGCGGACGCAAACAGACAACCACTCTCGGCTTCTTTTATACCATAAACTTTGGTGGTTTTATTTGAATGCATTTAGGAATGTGGCTACACCCTCGCTTAGACATGTCAATCAATCCCTCTGGCTCCTCCTCCTCCTGTTTCTCAGAGCAGTAATCTACTGCCTCCGCTGGTGATTTATATGCATTGCAGTGCTATCATTCAAGTAATCAAGACACCTGCTGACCGCTCTCTTTCTTTTCACACTGTGAGTCTGGTTCATCTCAGTGAGTGTTTATGTGAAACAAAACCAGAGCCCCTCTTTTATATGTACGTTTGTTGTGTGCGAGTATGTGTGTTTCTGTATTTGGCTGTCTGTCATCAGGTTTGTTGTCGGATTTAGATTAAAAAAATCTTTCTTTCTTTCTGTCTCTCTACCTCCCTCATGCTACCTTATGCTACCGTCTGGCATTTTAACCGTCTCTTCCTCTCCTCCGTCAGTTTCTAACTCTCACCGTCACTCTTGAATATCCCGGCCCCCGTGAACGGCCTGCATTGGTTTGCTATCGTTTGCACTCAGCTTGCATTTACAGAGCATGGCGGTTCCACACCCAATCCACCGTATCTCTGGTTCCCGTCCGGGTTTTCACACCGTTTCAGTCACATTCTCGTTCTCCCACCAACACACTCGCTCTGTATGCGCCTCTAAAACCGAGAAACAAGCGTTTGAACATGCATGGAGATGCTCAGAAGGCCGCATTGTTCGATGCATGCTCGTGTTTACATAATCACTACGAGTGCAGATAACCGTTCAGGCCCAGAATGCACTGGGGTGGGTGTGGAACAGCCATACTAGTCTGAAGAGTCACCATGTTCCAACTCACTGAATCCCGATCCGGTTTTGAGTTCCGGATCCGAGGGATTGAGTTTCAGTTTCTTGTTGTGTTCCGCTGGTTCTCTTCCTGTGTTCCCGTGGATGGTGACTCAGAGCACCAAGTGACCCTAACTAACTTCAGTGAAAAATATCCGTCCTCTTTGTATTATGTTTCATTTTTTGTTTTTGTTTTTGTGGTCTGCATTTCAGTAGTTTGAGTTCAAAAGGCTTTGCTGCAGTTCCTCCAAAATGTGATGAATCATGTGATTTCGTTGGTCTTGACTGAGTGTGCCAAACTTTTTCGTGAAGGCATGACCTTCGTTATAACTGTGCTTACTGTACTGAAGAAAAAAAAAACGAAGAATGAAAGCTGAAGAAAAAAAACCTAACCGTCCGTGGTTTTTGTCAAAATGACCTTGCAGTAAAAGATCTGGAGATTCTGAATTCGCTCCTGTCGTGTGTGGTCGACTACGCCCTGAATATTATTGGTGCTGACTGATTTCCGAATTTTGTTTTCTGCTAACGTTCGAATCCATGCAAAACCTCTCGTTCTCACTGTGCCTCAGTCGTAGACCAACACCAGATTGCCTCCACGCATGTTTACACGCGAATGCATATACACGCACGTAGACAGTAGTTCGTCCCTAACGCCGTCTCAGCTCTGCTGTCCTGAGGGGCTGGAATCTCATTCCCACTGATCTGAAACCCCCTCAGATCAGGTGTACTGTTGTTTACGGATGCACTTTTGTGTATCATGTGGGTGTTCATAGGAAATTAGGCGTCTTTTCTAACCTATGACCCGAGGTAACCCAACAAAAAGATCCAGCAGCAGTGAGAACGAACGAATGATTCATGTCTGTGTAGTTTTCCAAGCTGTTTCAGGATTTGCTGGCTATTCGTTGTTGTTTTTTTGTTTCTCAGTGAATGTACAGTAATTAATCGCGATCCTGAAAGGATAGTTCACCTAAAAATGAAAATTGTCATTATTTACTCACCCTCGTGTTGTTTCAAACCTGTGAGACTTCCTTTATCTGTGAAGCATAAAAGGAGATATTTTTGACCATGCAATGGAAGTCAATGGTAACCAAAAGAAAGGATTTCGTTCCCAACATTCTTCCAAGTATCTTTTTGTGCAGAAGAAAGAGTCATGCAGGTTTGGAACGACATGAAGGTGAGTAAATAATCATAGAATTGTCATTTTTGGGTGACCTATGCCTTTAACATCTAGTCTTAGAGGCCCGTTCACGAGCAAACCCTGCTGTGTTTTCATTTCCAGACGATCCAGCAGCGACATTCCGGTTCTGGAACTCGTCTCGGCTGCTTATGACATCAGAGCGGCTGTCGATTCGGTTTCGTCCCTAGTTCTGTCTGCATTGGCAAGCGTTAAGCGCCGCTGGGTCCGTTCAGAGACCGTTCGGAGCACCCACACCCAAAAACAATGACATCTGGGCTGGGAATGCTCACTTTAAATCTCTCAAGGTTTAGACATTATTATTATAGCGTGATGGTTTGGAGTATTCTTCCTCTTCCTTTTTTTTTTTTCTTGGAGCTCACAACGGCTCCACAATGAGCTCAGCTGCAGGTGCGAGAGTCTCTCGTGGATATGGAATTGTGCGACTGGGAGCCAGAGAGAGGCTCGGATCGAGCCAAGCTGCTTCCTTCCTCAGTCTCTCAATCCAATAGCTTTCCCAGAACAGGAAACGCCCCTCAGGTTTGCAGAGTGC